TTTGGGCTGGTGCCTCTGCCTGCACTCACTCTTGGTGGCGAGACATTAGAGGTTGTGGAGAGCTTTGTCTACTTGGGAAGTTGCATCCCGGCTGGCGGGGCTGTTGGAGACGAGATTTCGATGCACCTCTCGAGAGCACGCTTCGCTTTTTCTAAGCTAGGCACTTGTGGTCTCGCGATGAACATTGTCACTCGTCAATGTGCGGCGGGCGGCGGGGGTGGCGGCGGGCGGGGCCGGCGGGGGCCCGCCGGCGGCGGGGGGGGGCGGGGCGGCGGGGCGGGGGGGGGCGGGGTGAGGGGGGGGGGGGGGGGGGGGGGGCGGCGGCGGGGCGGGGGGGGGGGGGGGGCGGCGGGGGGGGGGGGGGGGGGGGGGGGGGGGCGGGGGGGGGCGGGGGGGGGGGGGGGGGGGGGGGGGGGGGGGGCGGGGGGGGGGGGGGGGGGGCGGGGGGGGGCGGGGGGGGGGGGGGGGGGCGGGGGGGGGGGGGGGCGGGGGGGGGGGGGGGGGCGGGGGGGGGGGGGGGCGGGGGGGGGGGGGGGGGGGGGGGGGGGGGGCGGGGGGGGGGGGGGCGGGGGGGGGGGGGGGGGGGCGGGGGGGGGGGGCGGGGGGGGGGGGGGGGGGGCGGGGGGGGGGGGGGGGGGGGGGGGGGGGGGGGGCGGGGGGGGGGGGGGGGGGGGGGGGGCGGGGGGGGGGGGGGCGGGGGGGGGGGGGGGGGGGGGGGGGGGGGCGGGGGGGGCGGGGGGGGGGGGGGGGGGGGCGGGGGGGGGGGGGGGGGGGCGGGGGGGGGGGGGGGGGGGGGGGGGGGCGGGGGGGGGGGGGGGGGGGGGGGGGCGGGGGGGCGGGGGGGGGGGGGGCGGGGCGGGGGGGGGGGGGGGGGGGCGGGGGGGGGCGGGGGGAGGGGCGGGCGGCGGGCGGGGGGGTGGGGCCGGCGGCGGCGGGCGGCGGCGGTGGCCGGGCCGGGGCGGCGGGGGGGGGGCGGGGGGCGGGGGCCGGGCGGGGGCGGGGCCGGGCGGGGGGGGCGGGGGGGCGGGGGGTGGGGGGGGGGGGGGGGGGGGGGGGGGGGGGGGGGCGGGGGGGGGGGGGGCGCGGGGGGGGGGGGGGGGGCGGGGGGGGGGCGGGGGGGGGGGCGGGGGGGGGGGGGGGGGGGGGGGGGGGGGGGGAGGGGGGGGGGGGGGGGCGGGGGGGGGGGGGGGGGGGGGGGGGGGGGGGGGAGGGGGGGTGGGGGGAGGGGGGGGGGGGTGGGGGGGGGGGGGGGAGGGGGGGGGGGGGGAGGGGGGGGGGGGGGGGGGGGGGGGGTCTATTGTGCAACCGTTCGTGCTCTACTGTTGTACGGATGCGAGACCTGGCTTATTCGTAAAGATGACTTGCGCAGGCACTCCGTCTTCGAGCACCGCTGTCTGCGGTCCATTGCCCGTGTGTGGTGGCAGCACTACATAAGCAATGTGGAAGTTAGACAGCGTGTCTTGGGACGTGGAAGCCACTCGCTCGAAGAGCTCATCTCACTGCATCAACTGCAGTGGTTGGGACACGTATTGCGCATGCCTGTCCAGCGTTACCCGCGTCGTGCGTTGTTTGCGGTTACTGGACAGTGCTGGAGGAGATGGTCTGGTGGACAGCCTACAACATGGAGAAGCCACATGAAGAAAGCTGACGAAACAGTTGGCCTCGGCCTGTTGTTGTCGACTACCGGGTTGGGGTCCGAGATGCGGATACTTGCTGGTTGAAGACCTTGGAAGCCATGGCTCAAGATCGATGTCAATGGCGGACGTGTGCATCGGTGTGTTGCGGTGTCCCTTCTTCCTCCCCCTAAAAAAAGTTCAAAAACTGAGTGGTAAACTAGACAAAAAAGCTTTTGTTGTTGTTGCTCTTTTCTTATTATTCATATTGTTTTCCTATTGAGCCATGATTCCGATAGCAAAATATCTGTAACACAGATTGTGTATTTTATATAGATATATATATATATATATGCTGAGGCTGATGTTGCATTCTTGATGCTTCTTCACCGCAGTTGGGCTAAACCAACTTACACTTAAACTAGGTCTTTTTAAGCTGGATAAATTTCATTCCGCTTTATTTGGTTTGTTCTGCCTCCCTGAATAATGTTCTATTAACTGACCACGTTGCATACACTAATTGTGCTTATCTTCGGTAATTTTGTTGCGTTTTGTAGCATTTTTAAGTAACTTGTGGACATTTCTTACTTATCACGGATTTGTTGTTAACACAGTTACTTCATATGGTAAATTAGCGAAGAGTTATGCCACCGTATCTGTATGCATTGTTGGATTTATTTTATTTCAGCTTGTCGTTCAAAGTGAATGGCTGTTGTTTGATATCCCTGGTGTGGTTGCGCTTGATGTGTATGTTGACAAGGTGCCTACCTGTCTATTACCCACTACATCGTTCATACTGGCTCCAGGAGACAGTTGGTCGTTGCTGTAGGGGACGGGGTGCACGGATCTTGTGGCCGTGCTAGGCTCAAAGAGCGGTTCCATGCACTCAGTGTGGAGCGGACTACGGTCCAGCCACCGCCTTGTGTGCGCTTGATTCCCCAAATACAGCGTGCTTGTGTTTGCCTGTGAAGGAGTGTGGGCCGGCTTCGTTGATGAAACGTGGTTCCCATCCGCATGCCTCCCGGTCTTATTCCTTCGGGTTTACACTGGATATGGGGTATGTGGTTGGAGCTGTGCGTGGTGCAGCGCAAGCCACCCATGGTCCCTCTGTAGGCGCAGGCGTCCTGTGGCTTGCCACAGTGACAGGGAAATCCGAAACCGGATGCCGCCAACCATATTAAACAGCGAAATTTGTCCGGCTTTGCGGGTAATATGCATCGTCTGAAGGCAACTTATCTTCACAGCCTTTAAAGCTTGCCCCCCACTGGTTGCAGCTCGAAAGTTATGACTAACGATGTCTACTGTGAGCTCTCTTATCCTATTCTTTTGGCGAAGAATACTCTTACGATGGTTGGTTCTAGTGGCATGTGTCCTATATTGGGTGGCTTATTGGTCTCGGACAAATATCTTGTATGTTGTTCCGAGGTCAATCCGCACCGAACAGATAGCGGCTACCGATTCTTGCAACTGTGTACCGATCACATTCCATATTTTAGCAGCACTGTCTTCCAGTGCACATGTATACAACATATCACCTGGGGCCCATCGAATCTCCTGATGGCCGGTATCCAAATTGGCCGTATCGTTATCTGCAGCGGATGGTGCACATCAGTTCAAGATTGCCAGTCATTTTGGTATACATGCCTGGACCTCGATCATGCTTCAGTGGGCGAACGCCTAGCACTCCCTTTTCCCGCTTCAAAGAACCGCCAAACTTCTAAACCTTTTGCTTGTAACTTTAGTTTGCGGTCTGAAATTCAGCAATTTCATGGTGAAATGTCTCACTAGTTCTCAGTGACGAATGAGGTTAGTATGCCGAATACCCTTCCCGCACTCGGGATCCGTGACAGCTCCTACTCAAGAAAAGTTGGATTATTTGTTTGATAGCAATTCACGGTCCGACGCGTGCCTCGCATGCGCAGTACTTAAAGAAACGCTGCATGGCAGTTTTTTCATCGCCAGTTTTTATAAGCATTGAGACCTACTTCAAAACTTTAGATCAATTTGTGCACCACGTTAGTTGCACAATCTGTACTGAGCACTTTTCAAGCTTTCAGTTTCAAAGCCCAAACATCTATGCAAGGCGCTAGACAGATCTGTGCTGCGACCAACGCTACCCAACTGATCGGAACAGTATCCGCTGCGCTTTGAAGTCATTGACAGTCTGCTTGATTTTAATCTCTGACACAGTGTCTGCATTCGATTAAACCTGTTCAGTTCATTTCAAATACAGCGATTTCATTCACCGCCACTCGCATCCCCATGCTAGTAATAATGAACAAGGATCCAGGAAACAAGCGAATTGCAAACAAACTGAAAACGTTTGTTAATCGTATTCGAAAAATGCTTCTCTCTTCTCACGGGATGGTTGAAAGCTGTAATCGGTGTTCCTATTGCAAGTGTTTCTGCCCCATGGCGTCCCTTCTTCCTGGAAGGTGGTCCAGGTAGAGTGAGTTTCTTTATGCTAGTTGGAGCGGCGTCCGCCGATAACACGGGCACTTCACTTAACCGGTGGCTCTACTAGTTCACGATTCATCCTCAACTCCTTATGAGTTAAACAGCAGCTGGCATACCGCGGCAGTTATCTCAGGTATTTGCGTTTATCCACACACACACACACGTTCTCCCATTGGTTAGTGGTTATACATCCGCTCTTTGCAGCGATTTTCACGTTACTTGTTCTTGTTGCTCTTTTTGTTGTTGACCGATAGACTAGTATGTCACCGTCTTCATAGTTGTTTAGGGCCATGGAAACCATACGTGTCTTTCCGATTTAAATCCTAACTTACCTGGGAAGATATTATCTTCTTAGGTATATTAACCTGTTTACCAAATCCGCCCCTTATTTAGTGCTCACGAGATTTGGCATAGTATCACCCCAGTTAGTAACCTTAAGGATCATAAGCCTGCCTAGTAATCCGAGGACGCGGGTTCGAACCTGCGTAGGGACCGAGTGACTCTCGCTGTATCCTTAGCCCGCGTACGACCGGTGATCTCGCCGCACCACAGCGTCGGAACTGCCTGTCGGCGTATTGCTTGTGCCTACTTTGAACTTCGAGTATGCAATGCCCTTAATAACATGTGCAGAAATACCGGTGTCACCATCCACTGATGAACTGCATCTGGGCGGCCAACATGGTGTAGACTCCCGTAATGATAACGGTGAGCGGTTACTTTTTGAGAGATAAGAAATAAAGAAAGGCGCTCACACTTCATGTGCAAATCATCGCGGGATTAGTCTTATTTCGGTTAATAATCATAATAATAATAATAATAATAATAATATGTCAGCTGTACGCCGTAATGGCGCTTCGCTGCCGCGCAACCACCAACAGTCGCGCGCGGGCTGAGTATACCGCGAGGACGCCCACCCCTTCGCGGATTCGAACCGGTGACCTTATGGTTGCAAAGCAAACGTGCAGGCCACTCGGCCACCGGCCGAACTCTTATTTCGGTTGCGTCTAAGCTATTGGCATCCATTCTGCTTCGCAGGCTATTCCCAGCACGTGAATCATACTACCGTGAAGAACAAGCTGGTTTCCGTCCTGGCCGCGGATGCGTGGATCAAATATTCACGCTCCGCCAGCTCCTTGAATATCGCCACATTTATCACAGGCCCATTGCATTCCTAGACATACGTGCCGCTTTTCACTCCGTTGATCGACCGGCATTATGGCGTTGTTTACTAAAGAACGGGGTGCCAGAGAAATATACCGCCATCTTACGAGCACTTTACCTTCATACATCTGGCAGAGTGAGGGTCGATGGCAAGCTTTCCTCGCAATTCGCTGTCAATAGTGGTGTGCGACAGGGCTGCCCTATGTCCCCATTCCTCTTCAACTTCGCAATTGAAGACGTTCTGTCGAATGCTTTAGGAGATTTCCAACATTTTGGCTTAGAGATTCTACCGGGTGAGCGCGCGACCGACTTAGATTATGCTGATGATATCGCCTTACTTGATGACGATCCTCAGAGTATGTAACTCATTCTGGATCGTTTGGCGGTTGAAGCATCTAAGTATGGTATGAGCTTCGCCCTATCGAAGTGTGAAGTACTGCTCAAGGATTGGCTTTCACCTGCTCCTGTGCTCACTCTCGAAGGTGCACAACTTGAACAGGTAGATAGTTTCGTCTACCTTGGGAGCTGTGTTTCTGCTGACGGCATTATCAACAAAGAAGTTTCTCTTCGTATTTCTAAAGCTCGATCAGCATTTGTCAATCTGAGACACTTGTGGCGTCGTCGCGACGTTTCATTCACACTAAAGGACTGCATTTACAGCGCATCAGTTCGCTCAGTACTGTTGTATGGGTGCGAGTCCTGGCCGATTCGCGTGGAAGACATGCGTCGTCTTTCTGCGTTCGATAACGGTTACTTAAGGAGGATTGCTCGTGTTTGGTGGCAACATCGAGTTACTAGTAATGACGTTCGACGTCTCATCTTGGAGAATGCGAGTATTCTCCTCAACAAACTGGTTTTGTTGCACCAATTAAGATGGCTCGGTCACGTCCTACGCATGGCACCTGAGCGTCTACCGCGTCGCGCTCTATTCGCTCGTCAAAGACCTGGCTGGAGGTGACCGCGTGGTGGTCAGCCCTACACTTGGCGGCAGCACATGAAATCGCTGACGTCGTGTCTAGCTGCTGTTGGATCCGTATGTCTTCCAGGATGGGGACCCAAAAATGAGGAGTGCCAATGGATTAGCACTCTTGAAGACATGGTCCGCAACCGGAATCAGTGGGAGAATTGTGTACAGTAATGTATTGCTTCACATGTTTGATACTACAATCATTAAAAATGACAAAAAAGAGCAAAATCGGCGTGTGACAAACAAACTAAAAGTGTTTTGTCTTATGTTTTGTCACAGTGTTCCATTCTTGCAGCATATTAGCTGAAGTGTGTTGCTCACCTTCAACTAGCATGCCAGGATGATTATGACGCGCCTACTCTTGCTTATCCGTTGATCTCCATTGTTTAGGTTGGCTCTATGTCTAGTTGCTAGACTGTTGAGATTACGAGCGGTTACTTCATTTGTGTGAAGATGCTCGCTTATTTCTTGCGAGCACTAATTTCCGACACAGCACCCGTCGGAGGGGGACTTGACGCCCTCCAGCCTCGAATCAGCTAGGGACGCAAATCGATCACATTGCAATAAGTTACCGATGGAGAGGCTGCGTCCAGAACTGTCGCTCGATATGCAGCACAGGTGCGGAACCCGACAATGCGCTTGTATGTGCTGACATGCGGATGCGTTTTGGCGGACGCCCACGACGACGCTGTGTGCGCATTGACACCAGCTAACTGACAAAGCCAGCTGTTCTGAATGCGTATCGAAGTACGCTGACATTCGAGTTGAGTAAGCGCTCACAGGAGACAATTGATGGTCACTGGTCACATGTTCGCCAGACCTTACTAGCAGCAGGCAGATCCTCATGTGGTATGTCTAATCGCCCACATGGACATTGGGTCTGTTCGCAGTCTGGAACTTATCGGTGCTCGCCGGCACATTCCGGCTGGAAGCGAACACAATGAGATTCGCAGAAAACCCCGAGGAAAACTCCGTGCTAGCCTGAAGAGAGACCGCGAACCCTGGTGGTCTCATTGTGCGTCAGAGATGGAAATGGCCGCTGCCCTTGGTAACCATCGTAAGTTATTCCGTCTGATATGGGAAACGGGCAGCAGACCTGGTGTTAGGGAAACTATACGTGACGAGAGTGGACAGCCTATCCACAATTTGTCAAAAAGTTTGGAGCATTGTGGTGAGCACATTGAAAGGCAATTTAACCGGTCGGAATTGTTGGATTTCTCGCCGGCCACTGACCGCCCCGCACCTTGGGCTCCCTTTGTATCTACCTCTCTCTCAGAAGTCGAACGTGAGATGGCACTGTTGAAGTTATATAAAGCCGCGAGACCAGGTGATTTTCCTTCGACCCTCTTCAAATTTGAGAGACCGGCTCTCGTTAATGATTTACACGAGTTACTAGTGAAACTTTCCCAAGCGACTGGAGCCGCTCCGTCATAGTCCCAATTTTCAAGGGAGGCTCAAGATCGAAATGCGGCAACCATAGAGGAATCAGTCTGATCTCTATCGCCTCCAAATTGCTTGTCTGTCATCCTTTACAGAGTGATTGGAACTCGTGAAAGCCAGATTCGTGAAGAGCAAGTCAAGTTTCGTCGAGGTCGTGGCTGAATTGACCCCAACTTCACTTTGTGTCAGTTGTCCGAGCACCGTCACATATACTTGTGGCCCACCATTGTCGTGTTCATCGATATCAAAGGGCATTCGATTCGGTGGATAGACGTGCGTCTTGGGACTGTCTAGTAAGGAATGGTGTACCTGAGAAATATGTAAACATTGTCCGATCATTATGCGCGCGTAGCTCAGGCAGAGTGAGGGCTTACGGCAAGCTGTCTTCGCCCTTTAATATCTCCAACGGTGTGAGACAAGGATGCCCGCTGTCACCTTTGCTCTTCAACTTCGCTATTGACGAAGTCCTGGAAATGGCGTTTACAGGACACGACTTCGAAGGTGTGGATCTGCTTCCAGTAGAACCACTTTTTGACTTGGTGTATGTTGACGATATTGCCCTAATCTATGACAGCTCCCAGACGTGCCAAGCTGCACTGGCTGTCAGGCGCTTCGGGCTTTGCTTTGCACCATCGAAGTGCAAAGCGTTCCTCCAAGATTGGCCTGGTCCGCCTCCTTCGCTGACCCCTTGTGAAGATCAGCTAGAAGTCGTTCAAAACTTCTACTACATGGGAAGTTGTATCAGCGCCCGTGGGATTGATGATGAGATCACGAACCGTATAGCAAAAGGTGGAGGCGCTTTTGCTAACCTTGGCCACTTTTGGCGCCGGCGCGACATCACTCTCGCCCTTAAGGGTAGAGTGTAAAGTGCAACGGTACGTTCAACCCTACTGTACGGTTGTGAAACGGCCCCTTAGATCAGAGGACATAAGGAAGCTAGTTACGTTCGACCACCGGTGCCTTCGCAATTTGGCTCACATCTAAAGGGAACGCCGAGTGAGCAGCGAGCGTGTTCGACGCCTTGTTTACGGCACAGGTAAGGGAAAGGAACCGCTCAGCACCGTTATTTCACGCACCAGGCTCCGATGGCTCGGCCACGTGTTACGCATGCCAGCTCACTGACTCCCGCGACGTGCATTGTTTGCGCGCCGGGGGTGTGGATAGAAGAAGAGCAGAGGTGGCCAAGCGATGACTTGGTCAAGAGCAATGAAGGCCCTCACTTCGGAGCTGGCCTCAGTTGGAGCGTCTCGGCTCCCTGGTTGGGACCCGAAAGACGATGAACACGTTTGGCTGGATACACTTGTTGATATGGCTAGGAGCGGACCTCAGTGGCGTTGGTGCTGTGCGTTTCTTTCTCCCACCCCATCCGTCAGCCTCCCCTTCCAACCACGATATCCTTATTGAGCATTTTATAATTTGCATAGTAAATTATTTTTTGTGCTGCATAGTAGCTGGCAGATAGCTTATCGGAACGATGCCCATCCGTTACCGGTAGCTCAGCTGGCTTGCATTTGTTGCATTTCCCTCATTTTTCTTGTATGACGGCGCAGTAGCTGACGTGTATAGTGTGTGTATGTGCATGTGCCATCGGTGGGCCCTGTTGCACAAGGATAATGTCGTCCACTTCCTCTGCAATCCTGAGTCCCTTACACGATAGGTTTCTCTCTGACTAAGTTAATCTGAACCACGTCACATAGACGCTTTGTTTGCAGCGAAAATGAAACCTTGGTCGCCACGTACCATGATTTGATTTTGGAGCCACACCCTGCATATCACACTTGGAGGATTTCATGGTTGATAGAAATATGGCCTTACTACATTTATCGACCTGCCGAATCATGGAGTTATCACTGACCTTCTAGATGTGTTGCTCTTGTTGGTTCCTTTTAAGATATAAGTTTGTCATCGACGTATCCTTTACCGAGGCAAAAGGTATCTTACTTTTGAACTGTTTTTACATGTACTTTGGAGGTGATGTTAGCGCAACTAATAATTCAGTGCTATTCGCATCTCAGGACTTATCCCTTTTTGTAAATGCCCATAATGGTCGACAGCCGCATGATCCTTTTATTGTCAAAATCCGTACAATTTAAACCAACAGAACTGCTTGACCAGTATGCCTTAACTTCAAACCTAACGTTTTTCCTTGTCTTTTCTTTTTCAGTTCACTGTTTAGAACGTGGATGACGCTGCACCTCGACCAATCCATGCCACACAAATTGCCATTCCGAGTCGTCCACATTGATAGTGAAGATGCGAATTTTCCAGCTATCGAGTTAAACCATCACTCTCCTGCCACAAGGGGTTGGGCCTCATCCAGATTCTGCTCATTTCCACAAAGAATTGTGCTCGCCCTTGAACACCGGGCGAAGTTGAGGAAAATACAACTTCTGTGTCATCAGCATTTCATTGGTGTGCATATTATTGCCTATATTAATCATTTAGCGCAGCTTCAAAAGTGGAGTTTTTCGTTGGAGATCTGCACAAAGACGATATCAATCATCACGAAAACGCTCGATACACCAGACTAGGGTAGGTTCGTGTTGTAATCTGGCAGTTTGGTGAAGTTATGTGTCACTTTCGGATAACGTTAGTACAGGATTCAAAGCTCGTGAATTGAAGTCCGTTCATGTGGAAGCTTCTGGGTCTTACGTCCAGTTACTTCTCCACAAGAACTACACAAACAAATTTAATTTGTACAACCAGGTAGTTGAGTGTTTGTGTTCATTCTCCTCCGCTAGGTTGGAATAGTGGCTGTCAATCTGATTGGCGACGACATCCGTCAGTCTTCACACTCTGATCCCCAACATCCTTCTTCCAATAACAACTGGTTAGTATACTAAAAACTAACAGATACTCCGCTTCTCCTCATCACACCACATTTTGTTATCAGTCTTTTCACATTATCGAGTGGGATCCACACACTGACATGAAGGTCATTACGATAATGGCGGTTTTCATGTGAGACGAAACTATTTTGAGTTTAAAAGCAGTTTGACTATCAGGAGGATGCAACGTGCACAACTTCTTGCTATCTACTCTTCCTGCTTGAACAATGAGGACCGAATAATGCCACGTTATGCAAGCCCATCAGAGTACACGCAATACCCTTTGCGAATCCAAGCAACACGATCCAGTCACCGATTGAGGTAGCTTAGTTATGGCAATTCCTCAAACATCTAAATATGCTGTGGAAATCACATTTCACTTCACGATGATTCGAGCCCTTGCGCTACTCTGATGTCTGGTATATTGTGCCATTGCTTGGTGCCGTTACTCTCTGTTCTTTCTTGGATTATTTGTATCGAGCTAGTATGACACCCATAGTTGCAGCCTGTTTTGTGCTGCACGGTACAGCCCAACATCTGTCTTCGCAGGATGCGCACGTCGGCTACCTATTTTCGTTCCGAACCTGAACCATGGTTCAGTGTTCTACGCAGTGCGGTGATTAGAAAGCTGCAGGAATGGTTAAATCAGAGATGTCCAAAGTCCGGCCCGCAGGCCAATTACGGTCCGCGTTAACATATCAACTGGTCACGGCCCTATCATGAAATAAGAAATTCAGGCTCGGACTCTTTTCGTAAATGTGTACTTTTTCTTATTATCTGTCAAACTGTATATAGCCCGACCTTTTCTTTAACTCAAATTATGGCCCTCTTTGCAAAGAGTTTGGACACCCCTGGGTTAAATTCTCACAACAAATGGACAACAGCGGCGCAGCAGATTAAACAGGATATAGTAATAACAATAAAAATCCCTATACGACATCATGTGTGCTGCGTGGAACTAGTATCTCTCAGTAGTCAAGTCGTGTGAACTGTTGCGTTGAACATCCGTGACGGCAGCCACATTCTATATAAACCCTGTCTCCAAGTCTGGAATACAGTTGCTGCAGGTAACGAATCGTCTGGGGCATGTATTCAGCAATGACTCGGGACTTTCGGCTGTCACTTCGTTGGGAGCGTCTCATGCTTACTTCCAACAGTAGATTCCTTTGATATTTAAACGTGTCTTATCCTAGCGCCTACGCATTTATCCCACATTGTCATGTGTTGAAAAGAAGTCACACAGAGAGGCCCCTCATCGTTACTTAAAGCGTGTGTTCTATCCAATTGTTTGCGCTTGTCGGTGACATAGTCTCTGTGGGGTGAGTCCACACTGTTGCTTCCATTAAAAATTCTATGTACTGCGCTACTCATGCCCTGTCAATCTTACGGGGAGCTTTCTCTGGGGTTTCCGGGACACATGCAACGCACTGGTCGCACTAATCACCAATGACCCCACGCAATATGGTTTGTGGCATCCGATTCCAGATTTGCCTGCCACTGCGGCCTCCTTAAGACAGCCACAAGACGCCTGCCCTTACAGAGGCACCATGAGTAGCTTGCGTTGCACCACGCACACACCCCATATCCATTGTAAGCCCGAAGGAATGAAACCGGATGACATATTTTTTGGTGGATTTCCCCCCATACTTTGCGTATCCCCTCACCTGTTATTTCTCCTCTCATTATCATGACTTTGGGAGTTATTTCAACTGAACCCATCGCATTTCGATCGCAGTTGATTCAGTCAACTGCCATGTTATCCGCTACCTTTGAATACATTCTCAGCCATTCAACTAATGGATCTTGTCCCGTTTTATGACTTCGTCTTCAAATCCTCATGTTCTGGTTTTCACGACCTCTTATAGCTCTGCAGCAAGTGTTTATAGATCGGACTTTATATCACCAACGGAAGACTTGGCCTTCGATATTTACCAAGACCCGGAAGTGGCAGAAATTATTCGTCGATTGGATAAGCAGAAGCTGTTAGCGGTCACACGTGAGTTTTCAACTAATCGGCTCCTTATCAATAAGTGCTGCGATCAAGATGATTCATATCTTTTATGTAAGCTCATCTGCGTTTTGTTACTAATTTACTTTTTCGTTAAACCACATAGCCATTATCACAAATTCAGCATTGTATCTTGCACAATGCGGTCCGCCGTTCGTGTGTTATCGGCCTGCACAGTATTTCCTTCCGAGTGGTAGTCGTCTTGCGGTCAACAAGTAATTAATCTAGTTGTCCTTTTGGAGATATTTTCTTGCAAAAAACGAGTGATTTTTTGTCGTCACATATTTGTCGTTCACATTCTTACTGCAGTAGGGTTCTTCAGACCGGGCTGCGTGGGTACTCATTACGTAGAAATACCGAAGTTGTATCCTTTTCTTTTTTTTTCTTCACTACCTATGATCCTTTTCTGCTTAACACAACCAATTACTGTTTGCGTTCATGATTTGAAGCATTTGGTCTGTTTTTATCTTTGCTCCCTAGATGTACACGAATGAAACTGTGCTTTCTATCTCCGGTTATGCAGTGACAAAAATTCCTTGTACAACGCCGTTGAATAGGTCGTATGTACGACAGCATTTAAGTATCGCAAACGTGTCGTTGGCTCATCAGACCCATACTTTTGCATTGCTAGTTGGCATTATATTCACTTCTATTTTTTGCATGACGGTTGAAACCCTTTTCACTTACTCATAGTTCACTACATAGAAATCGATTTGGATCAGCGAACTCACATATGCTTTCGGTTGTTATTTGCCCGTTTGTTCAAGCTTTCTCTGATGACTCCACTAACCCAGCCATTCTCAACTGGGTCCATATGACCCAACTGGGGGCCACAGAGAAAGCCTGGGGGGCCTGGGATGTGATAGCACAAATAAAAAATTCATTTACAAAAGTTTTCCGATGTTTTCTGTCCGCGCACTAATCTCCCCTGATAACTACCAGTCAGGGAAATGAATTACGTGTGCGCAAATGGCCGTTTGCATAGGTGTGAAAGCCAGACCGGCAGATTTTCTGTAGCGGAACTGTCATAGCTTCTCCAAACTTGCGCAGATTTCGCCGGGCTCACCTCAAACATGCATTCACCATACGGCGACTTAGGCTGCTCTACTGACGACCGCTTCGTCTAGACTTTAATGTCCATGCACACTGAACCAATTGAGCTCTACTCAGGACACTGATGCCTCTGCTATGCAAGTTGCAGTGAACCTAGCGAACGCTCGACAAAACACTGCGGCAGTTACCGCACAAAGCCACACTGACACTAACTGAATTTTCCTCAGGGAAATACCACTGTGTGACAACTAATGTGCCGGTCAGTCCTTCTCGTTGGGGTCTCAGTGTGGTAACGCTAGGTTACGCGTTTTTTTTATCTTCAGTCTCGCGTGTACGCCTGGCAGCTAGGTCACGTTAGTCCGCAACGTTCCGAATTCGAGTAGCTACCTTCGCGCTTGGGGTACTATCGGTGAAGAACGTTCGTTCGTTCCGACTAAGGGTCTAGAAATCTGGGACACGTTATAACGCTTTCTTAACATTCATTTCAGCTAAAGTTTTCGAATTGGCGAGCAGTTTGTCAAATTTCATCATACGTGTGGACATCCGGTTTTTTGGTGAGTATATATAACATAATGTGTACATAAGGATACTTCTCCTAGTACTCATATATAAACAAATGCCTTGCGAGCTCGCATTTGGCGCCATGATTGGCAATAGCCGATGTACATTACCAGTTACGTTGTGGACTCTCGTTCCGGTTTCTTGAACTATCCGGCATTTTCCTCCGTGTTTGTCTCTTCTACCCTTCATTTTACCAGTTGCCCCTTTAAGCTTCAACTTTCTTGTAATGCATGTGCGTCCATTGAGCATTGTCTTTTTCATGTTCTATTTGTTTTCTTCATTGAATTTTGTCACGAAGTTTCCTTCAGTCATTTTTGCTATCCAATGTATTTTCAAATTCATCCTCAGAAGCCCCCTTTGGGTTGCCTCTAACAGTGTTTCTACACTTTTACATTTTAACATTGTAGCCACCAACAGATGCTACAGGTATGTATGCCAACTGTCTTATGATCTCACGCTCAAGCAAGAATACATTTAGTACCACCAATCACTCATACAATCTGCGTGTTTCGTCTTGTCGAATAATGTTATTTAAAACTCATGATATCATTGCGTAAAAAGATACAAGCAATGACACATTTCTGAAATAAGCTCCTCGGCAAAGAAGAATTGTCGGCAGTACTCCGTGAAATACCTGTCATTTGGATTTATCGCATCAACTCAAACCCCACACGACTTTTATGTTTAATTTGCCAAAACCCACAAGAGCAAGTATGCGACTAAATAAACTGCAAAATCATTTAGAAAGTGTTCATAAAAACGAAAGCGGAAAGTCTGTGGATTCTTTAGAAAGCTGTGGGATAGTTTCGAAAACAGACCAACTTTGAAGACACTGGCTTCTGACAGGGCAAAAGTGGCGAATAGACTTGCATCATCTTCTTAAATCGGCAACTTGATTGCCAGAAATTGCAGTCCATATACTTTTGGAGAAATTATTATCTTGCCTCCATTATCGATAAAACTGTCTGACCTGATGAATATGAATCCACAAGAAGTAGTTCAAGCCATTCCGCTCAGCAATTCGACTGTATCTATGCGAATGGAGGAGATGGCTCAGGACCTAGAAAGTATCTTAGTTGCTTTACTACGGTTCAAAAAATTTACAATACATTTAGATGGATCTGCTTTAACTGACAACAACGCTCTTCTCGTGGCAAATGTCCGATTCTTCGATGCTAATCAACTGGTGGAAGAGATGCTGTTTGCTAGGAAAGTTAAAACTCATACTCTTCAATACCGTCTTTTCCAGCAATTTTGTGAGGAGAACAGTGAAGATTTCCGGGTTCTCCTGTTGCGTACAAAGTTAGGTGGCTCTCTAACCGCAGCTGTCTTCGCCCTCGTTTTGCACTCAGGGACACCATCATCACATCCCTTCTGGAACTGGTTATAAAAGAAAACTCTCAGCAGCTAAGCCAGATGTGTTTTATCCAGCTGATCTTTATGAAAAACTCCCCTTATTAAATAAAACCCCTCAAAACAAGTTGAGTAATCTCATCTTGAGTAAAGAAGCCGTTATCGCTTTTCTCAAACAGCTGAATATGCATGCTCAAGGCATCGGACGTCCGGAATTTTCACAGTTTCCAATTTCTGCTAAAGTCACGGAGGAGCTGAAGGATGAAGACTTGTTTGTTTATGCCGGTCATTCACAACAACTCCGAAAAGAAATGAAAGACATTTTTCATGACCTGATTGACATGGAAATCCTAATTTGGATTTTAGATCCATTTGGTGTACAGTCGTGCGACGTTGGGGTTAAAATCCAGGAAAGTCTCAGCGCTTCAAAGTGCCACACTGTCAAGATCCCAATTCGCGCTATATAAAAGCAATATTTAGAACTAGATGAAATATATTTCCTTCCTTTTCCATCCACATATTTGGTTGAATGTGGATCCAGCAGAGTGGTTTCTCTAACCAAAGTGGAAGCAGTTTGGATATCACAGCCAGTGATCTTCAACTCGCACTGTCAAGTCTGGAGCCGGACATAGACAAGCTTGCTAAAGGTCATCAGACTCAAGGCTCGCATTAACATCTCGACAAACCTATTGTTACGAAGTTACTACACCTAATTCATGACATGCATGACAGATAAAGGCCAACAATAATTAAATACAATTTAAAATGATAATGATGGCTTTTGTGTAATTACAGACAAGTGGCTTGGTGTTGCCGCACTATGCATGTCATCTTGAGTCTGCGAAATTAAACAGTGTAGTTTATAATAGCAACAGCAGTGATAGCATGATTACATTTTTAGCCATCATAACAAAAGATACCAATATGAGCGCTGGAAATCACAGCTTTAAGTGTGTTACGCATTGCGGATTGTTGAAATAGTGGTGATCAAGGGCGGGGGGCCATGAGAAATGGGAAGGTTCAGAAGGGGGCCACGGCTGAAAAAAGGTTTTGAATGCCTGTATTAGCCAGTGGAGTTGTACGTGGGCAGAGGTGCGTAAGTCAGCAGCATCGAAGAACATTTGGAAATTATTGAGAATACCTGTAGCTCAGGATGTGGATGAGAGGATTGTTGTGTTCTCCGAGCTAAGCAATTTTGTTGCAGACGTTTCGTTGCCAAACTAGGCAACATCCTCAGTGCGGCTATAGAGGTTTGATTTGCAGTCACGTAAGCCACTGCCACTTCCAAGGGACTATTGATCGTCGGCCAAATGGCCACGTCTACGCCCTGTCGACCTGGTACTTATTTTTGACCTCACATGCAGAGCTTCGTAGACCCCCCTTCGAGTTCTTGATGATTGAGTTCTGGCCCGAATGCCAGGCCTTGAGGAACTCACGCGCTCTGCGGTTCTTTGCTCTTCCAAGTATCTTGGCGTTCCCCAGATCGAACTAATGGCCCTCGATATCCATATGTACTGACATTAGTGATCTTTCATCATGGCGGCGGATGGCCAGACTGTGTTCATGCAGTCTTGTGCTAAGTCTTGCCCACAGAGTACTTGTCACAAGTATTGCAGAAAATTGTGTGAATTACACCTGATATTTCTCTACTCAGTTGGTCTTTTGCCCTGAAAACTTTCCGCCAAATAATTTCCGTTACTACATGTGCAACCTTGATCCTGTGAGCCATTAAGAGCCTCGCTGCCATCTCTGAAATCCCATGGATGTAAGGTAGGACGAATGTTTTGCTTTCCGTTGCGCTTGAGGAAGCGAGCGGCGGTTGATTTTTCGACTTCAGGCAGTGTAGAATAAAAAAAATAAAATCCAGTGTTTGGTGACCGAGGCAGTGATGCAAGCACTGGAACAAAAGGCGCTGCCGATGATGGAGCCCAAACTTTGGGTACGTTCCAGACTACAAGAAACACCATCTGCTTAATAATATTTTCCCCGGCATCCATTTCACCAAAGAGGAGGAGAACGAT